CTTCTCAAAGCACACCAGAGCCTGCTGCAGGTTGCCCATAGCCCTGCCAGGACATAATCAAGAAGTCAGGATTCACCCCTGCACCTTCACTCAGTCACACATTTCTTAATCCACTCTCTTGCTTCTGAGCTTAAGAGTGTGACGTTTTTGGGACCTCAACAGGAAACACCTCTTCAGAGCATGAGTTGTGCTCATATACTGTAGATTAACCAGCGATGGATGGATCATTCTGCTTGACTCTCAACATGCTACCAGGAGCTAATGGAACAACATATGTGGAATGACCCCACTTCACTTCTGATATTTGTCTGTTTGAGCATCCATCCACTCATCTGAGAAACAGGTTCAGACAAAAACAAATGCCGGTCATTTTCAGTATATCCTATAGCAGTAATTTATGTGTTTATTACACTATATTACTTAAATATTCCAGTAGGAAACAATAAAATTGTATCTTTGCGGTAAACAGAGAAAGGAAGCAAAGTTGCAGTCCTGAGAATCAAACAGATACAGTTATATCAGGCCAGTCTTGTTCTACATTCTATACTGACTTGATAAAATTTAGAGTAAAGTGCAAATTTAACATTAAGAGAACAGAACAGTGTCTGAAAGCTGTTTCAGTGTCTGAAACATCAAACATTCAAGGCCTGGAAGCACTGCTATAATTATCAGCACATGTACAATTACCATTATTATTTAGGAAGAAGATTGAATGAAGAAGAATGTAACATATGCAACTTCAGCAAGCACTGTGTTCTTGTAAAATTATACCGACATTTCAAACAAGATTTTCTTAATTTAATGGAAATGAAACTGGTTTAATTCCTTCGCTTAATTGACTGATTCTTTTTTTTCCGTAGGGTGGTAATAGTGTTAATTGGAAATGCAGAGAATTGTGCTGTTGACAAGATAATTTACCATCCCAACGCATCTCCGTGGGACAACGGGCCCTTCTGATGAATGATGCATGAAAACAGATTCATTTGCAAATGGGGTGACAGCAGCTCACCGTAACGTTCATCATCCTTTGTGCTTTGCTCAAAGGAAAAATCAGAAGCCTAACAAATAAATAAAATTACAATTTGGTTGTAATTGCCAGTACAAGTATTAATGATATGATTGGAACTTAATTAATGCATAATGTTAATATGTCTCAGTTCAATGACAAGGCGTCACTCATTTAGGGCCCATGGTGCCATGTTTGGGGTCATTAGTGTGGCGTGTTCTTCAATCATTATTCAGTCCTCATTTCATGCAGAACTAATTGAACCCAACCTAGTAGTTAGAGCTTCAACAATGAGTGTGGGGAATACAAAGAATTGCTTACTGTGCCCCAGCGAAACATAATTCAAACAACAAATAAATAAGATAAAAAAATCATCTGCATTCTTTCGTTTGACTTATATTACATGCAATATAATTTGATTTAAGTTGATGCCATCATTTAATCAGGTCTACCAGATCTAGTTTAATCAGGCTGTTTCAGGTAAAATATTTTTTTCATTCAGTGATCAGTAACGCCACATTAATTCTCACACTGTGTGAAAAGTTGTATTAACAGAATCTGGTTAAACTAACTTTTATTTTCTGATCCTGAAGCACCGTATATAGATCATCTGAAAGCTGAAATAAAATATTTTGGCATTATTGTCAAGGACAATATCCTGAGAACATGGAGTAGATTTAATAGATGAGGCGGTACACACCTGTGACCATTTCCCAAGCCTCTGTAAGCCTTTTCCTGGTCTTGCATCCGGTTCAAGCTCTGAGCTACAGACAGGTATTGTTCATAGTATTTAATGGCTTCTTCATAGTCGCCCAGCGCCTCATAGCAGTCTCCTAGATTACCATATCCTCTGCCTCGGTCCAGCACTGCCTCATTGCCACTCAGTTGCTGTAGCATGGCCAACTGCTGCTCAAAGTAGCCGATGGCTTCCTCCATCACGTTCATGTTCATCTTTGTGATGCCCATGTTGCCATACACCTGGGCCTCGATGCTGGGGTCCTTCAGCTTCTGCCCCAGGTCCAGCTGTTCCTCATAGCACTTGAAGGCCATGGTGTATTTGCCTAGGGCCATGTAGACAGCTGCCAAGTGCCCATGGGCTTTGCACTCTCCCTGGATGTCACTCAGTTCCTGATAAACCTCCAGCTCTTGGGTGTGGTAGCCCAAGGCTTTGTCGTATTTCTGTATCATCCTGTAGGCGGCTCCCAGTGCAGCATAGGCGCTGGCTTCCAGCTTGCGTTCCTTTACCTGGTGGGCTAGCGACAGCTGCTGCTCGTAGAACTTGATAGCCCCATTCACGTCCTTCTTACACACAAAGATGTCGCCAAGGTTGCCCAGCGCCCGGAAACGAGCCTGTGAGTTATTGAGGGACTGAGCCAGAGACAGGAGGTATTTCTGGCACTCCTCTGCCTTACCGTAGTTTCCCAGGGCCTTGAACGCCAGGCCCAGATTGCAGTAGGCCTTGGCCTGGCTCAGTTTATCATGGAGGTCCTTGGCCAAGGCCAGGTCCTGCTCGTAATACTTCACCGCCTCCTGGAAGTTGCCCAGGCAGTAGTGGGCATATCCCAGGTTGTGGCAGACCTTGCCCTCACTCTCCATGTCCTGGAGCTCGGGAGAGAGCCGCAGGTACTGCTCATAGTAGGGCACAGCCTGAGGGAACTCCCCTCGGGAGCAGTGGAAGTTGCCCAGGTTGCTGAGGGCTCGGGCCTCGCTCTGAATGTCACGCAGCTCACGCGCAATGTTGAGGTGGTTTTGGTAGTGCTGTAAGGCGCGGTCGTGGGCTCCCAGGGCCTGGTACGCCACAGCCAGGTTCCCATGGGTGGAGGCTTGTGACGCGCGGTCATTCACCTCCATGGATATCTGCAGCTCCTGGCGGTGGTACTTGACGGCTTGGTCAAACATACCCAGGGCATTGTAGGCGTTCCCCATGTTGCCATACGCCCGACCTTGGGCAGCGTAGTCGCTGAGCTCCTGAGCAATGGAGAGATGAGTTTTGTGGAGTTTCAGTGCAGTCTCATAATCTCCTTTCATCTGGTGAATTATACCTAAGCAGGCACAAAAATACACTCAGTATTAACAGAATGGAATAATATTTTGTTTTTGCATTGCATTCCTATTATCTCTGTAATAGAATATGATTCTGTTGGCATTGAGAAAAATCATCATGTCTTTTAAAAGCAAATAAATATGAACCATTAATTTAAAATGTAATTTTATTGGATTTCAAGGGTGTGTTTAAAAACAGAATGTTTTCAAACACAAGCTGTTAAGTATGTGCTAGACCAGTGATCCTTACTTCTGGTCCTAGAGAGCCACTGGGTGTTCTGCTTTTCTCTCATCTAAGATATACATGACTTAATTGAGTTTAAGTCAAGTTGTGAAGTCATTAAGGATTTTAAGTTACCTGTTAAACACGCAAACAAGAGTGTGGCTCTCCAAGCTCATATGAGGGTAACACTGTGCTACAGCACAAAGTTTATAATATATATTCCAGAAAATAACTAACATACCATATAATTATCTAAAAATGCATTTTTTTTTGCTTTCCTTAAAGACATTTTCTACTTCATGTCTAACACAGAGGTCAAGAGCAAAGGAAATTGTGAAAAAACAGTAAATTTAATATCTGAAATTCTATAAGAAATACCTCTAAGTACTCTATCCTCTTCAAAACTGATTATCTTCCTGAGTAACCAAACAATTATACAGAGCACATTTTTCAGTGAAAGCAATTGGACCTCCACCTTATTTCCAAAGAGGTCACAGCTGAAGTATAATTCCCATTTTGTTCCGATTCCTTTCGAAATATAACAAACGTACTAAAAAGCTTCCCCAAAGCAATAATAGCTGGACTTGTGATGGTAGAAAAACTCACAAAGAAGAGGTTAATGAATACTTATAATGGAAAATCCTTTGAGGCAGCAGTAGCATTAATCATGGTCCCTGCAATTCCACTATGAGATCTCTCTGTGCACTAATCTGCCTCTTCCCTTAACCAAAAGTGCAGTGTATTACAGAGGATCAACAAATTGCTGGCATGTGCGGAAAATGACCCAAGCGATGGAAGTTAGTGGGCACTGACGTCTTGGCGATGCAGTCTGTTTATTAAAAGACCGTTTGACCAAAAATGCACTCCATTCCGAACAGGGAAAAGCCAGGAAAAAAATAATAATAATGGCTGATGATACGCTTCCATTGAGCTTCAGCTTTGTCAGCAACTGTTATAAATGTACTTTGCTTGGTAATACACTCTGACTGATTGTCAGTTCCTACGTTCAAGGTAGCTATCCAAATATGTACCCATTAGTCGCTGCAGGCATAGACCAGGGTGCACAGTCTGTCTGCCACGCAAGGCGCGAGTCTGCACACTGTCAATCACTATCGGCCAAGAGATTAGCAGCATGCAGAAAATCCAATTAAAGGCTGGTGCTAGTTTTTACAGGCAAAAGCTTGTTTCCTTTGGTGCTTCTTTTAATGCTGGTAGAGAAAGGGAAACTGACATCAGAGACATCTCTGACAAACTGACATCACATCATTACCCATAGAGCTGTACATGCTAGACATTCACTATAGCTAATCTTCTCAATGACAACAACCATTGTTTTTGTCCAACCACATCGTCCCTTTTAAGGACTGTGGTCGTACTGTACTTACAATGATAAATTATTTTCATGACCTGAAATTGGCTACTTGTGATGAATAAAATCCGCTTTTGACCTCTTCCAATCATATTTATCATTCTCCAGGTGTCTAAATATAAGCTACCTAAATGTTAAAGCTATAAAACATTTCTCGATTGCTGTGAAAAGGAGACTGTAATTGTGCCATTGACTGGGTGTACTGATGTAAAAATGTATATATGCTGTTCTATTCACATAAAGAAAAATAGCATAGGGACTGTAAGCCAATTAGTCTAATAATTAAACCGCACCCAAGCTGCTCAGCTACAGTACAACTGTAATAGTGGTGATAAAATATTATTGGTTATATTGTAATTCTTTTGGAAAGTGAACTCTTTGATCATAATGAACATTAGCAAAAACAAAATATTTTCAGTGTATTCCTAGGGTGGACCTCAACTTGTTTACTTCACAAAGAACTGAAAGGCTAAATTCAAAGTCTTTTCTATTTGTACTACTAGTTGAAAACGACAAAATTGACTTGGTTTCTTTAGTTCTGCAGGAACTGCCGAACTCACCAACCCACAGGATCCTCTCAGAACCCGTTAACATACTTTACTACACCTTCATCCTTGAGATTACAATTAATAATAATTGCCTGCATCAGTCCTTTTCATTCCTAATGACCCCAAAGTTCTTCATCTACCAGTGCAATTTTTCTCTGTTGCCCAGTAAACAAAGTGCATTAGACAATAAATATCTTACACAAAAGAATATAGTTCTTATTTTTCCTCTATTCTTAATTTCTTATGAAAGATTATAAATGAAGGGAGGTCCTCCATACCATCTTGCTTATTTGGCTGATGGTAACTAACTGATCCGAAATACAATTCTAAATGCACTCCCTCTTAATTTCCATATGTATACACAGATCTAAGCTCATGAATGCAAAATGTGATCATGCATTATGAGACATGCAATCACATCCAGAAGTAAGATGATGAGTGTTCCAAAGCTGTGCTTGGCTTCTCACACAGATTACAGGTACACTCTTTAATCTTGAACTAAGGAATCTGAAATGGAACCTTTGTCTGGAGGCAGGATTAAAGAATTCCATACTGAGGTGAACTCAGTTTGCAGCATTGAGCTATTCAGAAATGAAAGGACAGAGACTCTATCCCGAGGAGTATTCAATATCTTATTTAAAGTCGCTGTGACAACAGTATATAAAATGTTTAAAATCAGCATTGAATAAATCACTTTTTGAATAGGATTCAAAAGCTGTTCAAATATTTTAAATGAACATCTTTGATGTCTGTCTGTAGTGTACTGTACATACAATGGCTATCATCTTTCAATGTCTTTTTATAGGTGTACAGTGTGTTTCTTAATCTAGGTACCGTGAAGTTGGGACAGTGCTTTTGAAAATCGTGGGAGTGATTTTCAGTAGGGGGTAGATTTGGATTCTCCAGACCACTGGTGAGCTCCATGGGTCTTTTGTTTGGCATTGGTCCAGCGCAGGTTCCACTCGCTGACTGAGCAGCATGTGGACAGGAAGGGAGCTGGCTTCCTACTGACCAGTCAGGCTGTCAGCTGGCTGCCTGGTGTACTGAACTGCCACCCAATTCTGTTCACACTGCACCAATAATTGATTCCAAATCTAGGGAGAAAGTGTTAAAACTAAACAGTACAGAGAACACAACATACCCTACAATATTTGCTAAAACATCAAAAAACAAGAGCGGTGTGAAACCAATGAGACGTTTCATAAAATGGGAGTACACTGTGAACTATAAGAAATTAATCAGCATGATCAAATTAAAAGATCTAAAATTCCAAATGGGACAGACAAAGTCAAACACAAACGACAGAATTACAAAGAGACACTGTGCAAGTAAGGTATATATTTATAAATCTTTTACGTTTTTGTGAAAAACACAAAGACACACATGGAAAATGAGTCATAAGTACTTCTATTTAACCTTTCTGCCCCATAGCAATTTGGGATAATTTGAGGTGCTAGAACCTCTGGTAACTAGCGGATTGATAAGCAAGTCATGCCTGTACTGTTATTTTTACCCTCCATAAACCGTTATTTATTTTAATGCTATTTGTAGTCCTGTAAAGACGTGACTTGAGTGTAAAAACGGAGGCAGGAAGAGTCCCAAGAGAGCTTGCAGCTCACTCTCTACATACAGTACTTCCTCTGCATCATGGCTGTTCTTACCACAGAGGAGCCCAGCCTACGGATTTCAGCTAGGATTGTCTACAGCATCCCAGAAAGGAAACAGGGGGAAAGGCTCCTGTTCCAGACAAATTCCACTAGGGCCTGACTAAGACGGACTCAGTCATTCAACATTTTTAATTCAACATTTTCAACATTGTTTTCTGTTGCCTTCTGTTACATGAAGAAAGTTACCAATAAAGCTTCCATATGCAGCTTGTCTGACTCTCAATGATTGGTTTTAAGCCAATTCGTCTGTATAAACTATGCTCTTGTTTTGTTTACTTTCTCTTTTTATCTGGGGAACATCACTACACATGTATAAGGTTCCTCAGCCATACGTCGAGGAGGCTGGGTTTTCATTTCTTTTCAGCCTCTTGTATTCTTCCTATCCTCTTAAAGTTCTCTAAAAAACTGAGGAACTTCTGAAGCCAGTGAGTAAAAGTGCTCGAGTGCAGGCTGAGCCCTGAGATCCTGACGTCACCAGATTGAGCACAGGTCATCTCACAAGCCAGCCATGACCAGGATTCGCCCTGTATGGGTACAAACCCTGTGATAATATAGGGTAAAATAATGATAAAATATCCTTCAGCTTTCTCGCAAACAGGGACTTCTGTGACTTCATAGATGTAAGCTTCTGCTGTTTTTACAAGTTTGAGCCTGGGCCATATCACCCAAGTGTTGCCATGTGTCTCTAAGCAGCTGTTCTCCCCTTTGGTGCAGATCTGCAGATCTGGATTTATCAGCCAGAACGCTTTACCATAACTTCTGTGACAGGCTAGGTGCAGTGAATGGCCTCTTTAAGTTTGTAACCTTTCTTGTGATCCTGGGTAATGTGTAGGCTTGCAGTGACATCAGGTAGAGGGATACACCACTCCTCCAGTCAGTACCAACACTCCTGTATGGCACTGTAGAGCCTTCAGTGAGTCATGGTGAAAGACTTTGCACGTGTTGGAAGGGCTTGTGTACACCTGTCCTTCTCTACCGAGTGGTACAGGAGCTGCAGACATAAAACTGTGTGACATACAACTGGTGATTCCAGATTTTTAAAAATTGCAAATAAATTTTCAGAATCCTTTCGGAATACTTTTCTGCCTACACAAGGGAGAAGGCTGTCAACACAGAGCTGTCAGGCAGCAGTCACTGGAGGTGAATAGAATGTGTCTCCATGTTTATTCTCAGCTGTAAAGTATTCACTATG